CAGTAACAATATTTTGTACGGTCTAAAATTTGAACAAAAGTTAAAATCCTCAAGAATAACCCATAAGATGGACAGAGGGAAAGAGGACTTAAAGAGTTTTGAGATCGTTTGATTGTCGGTGGAGATGGTAAAGGATCTAATTTAGATTAGACTTTGGCAAGTAAAGAATAAAGAAAATATTAGACTTTGATAAGTTATTTTAATTATCTTGGGGCAACCATTAAGAGAATCCAAAACTAACAAATTATTGCAGAGAGGAAATGGAATTATATAAAGAATTCAAGGGGGTGGGGGGAGAGGGAGGGGGTGGGGGTAGGGGGGAGCAATGACCCAAACAATGTATGCACATGTGAATAAACAAATAAAAATAAATTTAAAAAAGAAAACAAAAACAGGAAAAAAGGAGGAAAAGGGAACACAGAAGAAGTAGGACAAGTACAAAGAAATTTTAAAAGGGTAGATTTGAAATAAAGTATGTCTAATTATGGTAAATGTAAGTGGTAAAATAATTCAAGTTAAAAAACCAAAGATTTCCACGAGCCTATAATCCTAGCTACTTGGGAGGCAGAGATCAGGAGGATTGTGATTTGAGGCCAGCTGGGCAAATAGTTCTCAAAACCCCAACTCCAAAATAACAAGAGAAAAACGGACTGGAGATGTGACTCAAGCGGTAGGGTGCCTGCTTTGCAAGCAAGAAGCCTGAGTTCAAACTCCAGTCCCACAAAAATAACAAACAAAACCCCCCAAAGATTATAAAAGTAGATAAAGTGAAACTCAACTAAATATTGCCTACACACTTCTGGGTGTCTGTGAGCCCAGAGAAGATGATACAAACTGAAGTAGGAAGGGCCTGGCCTGAATCTGTAAGGCACCATCCCATAGGCTGGGGGCCTGGCCTGAACAAAAGTGGAGAAGGAGGAAGTCCCCTCCTCCCCAGCACCTGTGAGCTCCACTCCTCTTCAACAGGGAGCATCGATGGCTACAGCTTCTACAAGCCTCTGTGCACACCGATTCCAGCTTCTTCAGCTTTTCAGTGTGGACTCCCACTAGCAACTCTCCTTAGAGCTTCCAGGCCTTCAGCCTCAGACCTGGGCTGCATCATTGGCCCT